CAGTGAATCCATTGTAACCCGCTATCAAAGTGTTATCATTTATATTAAATATTACGTCATTTGCACTTCTCTTACGATTTTCATCCTTAAAATCTTGCGAGAACAAATGAAACTTGTTATAATCCTTCCTTATGGAGTGCAATTGAATCATGCTAATAAAAGATAATAATTCAGTAACTGATTGGATATTTCGGGAGTTTATAACATGAATTGAAAATAATGCGTACCCAGATTCTTCACAAGATGCGAACTGGTAAATCGTCCCATCTTTTGGGGCGTTACGAACAGCCAGTCTGTTAATACCAGATTGACAAACTAATAAAACACTCATGATAAGTAAGATGGCAATTAGAAGTTTTATGAAGTGAACTCAGGACGTAGTTAATGATCACAGCTATAAAGTACCTTTTACGTTATATGGTCTCTGAAATTTCCTTGAATCCTCCATGTACCAAGTCTTTAAAACACAGACATTATAAATATTCTTGCTTATTCATTTGTAATTTTGGTAATAAATATGTTGATTTTATAATTACCTTTATGGTCGCATCAGTAGATGCAGAAAAGATAAATTTTCCGTCAGGAGAAAATTTTACATCAGTTACAGTGGTCCAAAGCTCTTCAAATAAAAAGAAGTATTGAAATGTAAGGTCAAAAATATCAAAGAATATTCGAAACTTTGAAACTAGAAAGAAAATGTAGATTAATTATATTACCTCCTTTTGTAATAGCATCTGGAGCATGGTGACCATATAAATTGTATGCGGAACCTGAATAATGGATAGATAGTTGATTGATAAGAATTTGAATCTAATGGTGTCGAGAATTAAATCTGAACTTTATTACCTGAAGCAATATCCAAAAATTGTAGATTCCCGGGCATATTATAATTTGGATCCACGTTTGCAATGTAGGCCATCGCTAGTCTTGGTCTGTTTGTAATCATCAAGAGTAAGAGACAGAAGTAATAATGTTTTCAAGAATGTTATGCTTACTTATTAGGGTTGCTATAATCCAAGGCAGTTTCATTAACATCACCACTTCCACTTTTATAGTTGTAAGATTTGTACTTCTCAAAACTTTGTAGCAACAATTTTTCTGCTGGAGACTGGTAAAAAGACAAATTAAAAATCAAAAGGTTTATCTACAGTTATGATTGTGCAAAAGAAAGAAAGTTATTACCTCTCTCCCTCCGAATAATTTAGCTGACAGTTGACTATCTTCCAAAATAGACTTGGTACCCTTGACCAATCTGTTATCTTCATTTTCCATTAAGTCGCCTCTCACAAATACTTCATTTCTCGCCAAGTAAGCCATTAGTGATGCGATTTCTTCCACGTTTTTAAGGAGTCCCTA